TACGTATATTTTCATGTGGTTGCTTAAATAATTTGTTGTTTTTGTAGCTTTTGTTTCCTGCTGTTGTTGTTGTTGTTGCTGTACTATTGTGTCATTAAACCAGACGGCCTATTTTTCTTCTAGTAGTTTTATTTTGTTTGGGTTTTTTGAAGCGAAAGCTTTACGAGAAGTGTGTTTGTTTTTGTTGTTTCTCTGCAATCATATACATATGTTATGTAAAGGTCAAAGTTCTAGTCTAAGTCACTTACTAACTCTCTTTTGCATATTTTTCTTTGTTTTTATTGTTATCTCACTTGTTAATCGCTTGGTTAGTGAGTTGCATTAAGTTTAAGTGCATTTGAGGTTGTTGGTGTTCTGTAGTTCCAATGTTAAGAGTGGTAAAGTGACGGTGAAGGTGAAGAGGGGACGGGGCAAGGGAACAGAGGGTGGAGAACAGGAAGGAGAGGGAACAGCGGGGCCGGGGCCGGGGAAACAGGGACAGGGAGGGAAAGAAGGGGGGGAACGAACGAACGAACGAACGAACGAAACGAACGAACGAACGAACGAACGAACGAACGAACGAACGAACGAACGAACGAACGAACGAACGAACGAACGAACGAACGAACGAACGAACGAACGAACGAACGAACGAACGAACGAACGAACGAACGAACAACGAACGAACGAACGAACGAACGAACGAACGAACGAACGAACGAACGAACGAACGAACGAACGAACGAACGAACGAACGAACGAACGAACGAACGAACGAACGAACGAACGAACGAACTAACGAACGAACGACGAACGAACGAACGAACGAAGAACGAACGAACGAACGAACGAACGAACGAACGAACGAACGAACGAACGAACGAACGAACGAACGAACGAACGAACGAACGAACTAACGAACGAACTAACTGAACTAACTAACGAACTAACAACTAACGAACTAACTAACGAACGAACTAACGAACTAACTAACTGAACTAACTAACTAACTAAACTAACTAACTAACTAACAACTAACTAACGAACTAACTAACTAACTAACTAACTAACTAACTAACCAACTAACTAACCACTAACTAACTAACTACCTAACTAACTACTACTATAGCCTGCGCTTTCACTTGGAAGCATGTGCAGTGATTACGAAGACGATAATATATCTGAACTTCAGGGTTATGTAGATCACAGTATTTAAAATTCAAACTAATACGCCCACTGTCCTCCTTGTCCTGTTGTTAACATTCTCCATAACCCACAGATTAACATATAACTGTTAACGAAAAAAGCTTTTCGCACTGCACTGCACTTTATAACATAACTATAACATTATCATACCAGAAACCTGTTAAGTTAACATAAACATATGATAAACACATGCGCTTTCGTTAATGAGAGTAAAAGAGATGTAAACAAAATCTGAACAAACAAAACAACAACAAAAATACGAGAATATACTAGAACGCAACAACATTTCTGTACACTAATGCGAGAAATGTTTGTTTCTTTCTGGGACCTCCAAACAGACACCACAATAAATAGAGAAAAAATGCAAACCAAAATAAACATTTGTATTCTTATTGGAACTGAAGAATAGAATGAAAAAGAACAACATAATTTTATTAAATAAATAAAATTGAATGATAAATAGGACAATAATATTTGCTAATAAGGGAAAAATACCAATTAATAACAAATGTTTATGTAAATTATAGTAGAATAATAAATATGTTTGTTTGTAAGTGCTGCTGCTGATAACAAAAAAAAATAATTTTACATTCTACTCCAATTAAGGCAATATGAAGTTGTTGTTGTTATTTTTTGCTGCTTTTTATATATTATTCTTATCAATTCATACTTGTTTCGATGTACAGCTAACGACTCTAAAATATCCAAAAACAAAAGAGATGTTTACAACTTTTATTGACATTTATTTGAAGTGTTGTAATTTAGGAATGAGAAAATTAAGGCAGAATGTTCTAAATAAGTTTTCGACTAGTTTATGGGCTGTCTCTGGACTTATCTATTGACTAGGCAATGGACTAGTGCATAAAGTTATTCATCCCTATCGCCAATTAAAATTTCGCGTCAAATCTATTCGCATACTATTGATAATGAAAAGTTTAACTGTAACTAACCGCCTAAATCGATTAACCTTTAAATGGGCCACCGGTAGCTTAAAGGTTCACTTTATCAAAAGGATAAAATCTTTCGATTAACTATATAAAGTTCGGAGATCAGTTTTCATTGGTATAACAAGAACATTGAGAACTTGTTTTTTAGGTCCAAGTTCTTCAAAGGTCTGCTTAATTAGCTACCTTGTATCTTCGGGGTACGATTGGATCTTTTACGCTTCCAACAAAGTCGTTGTGTTCTTCTCAGAGAGGACATAATCAATGCTTCGGCTTTGGATGGCATAAAATATAATTGGGAGGAATCTTATAGATACGAATGCAGTCCGATGAAATAAGTCCTTCAGATCTCGTCGATTAACTATGATTAAAGTGCTAAAACTAGCTAGGAAATACAATTTTGCAATTGAAAGATATAACTTCTCAACTCCCGACGGCTAACTATGACTTATGGTCCAAGATTAGTTAGAGAATACTATTCGGCGAGGTAAATGCCAACTAACGACTAACTAATTATCGAAAGGACAAATGGAATCCTATGAGATAAATTCCTCTATTTTCAATAGCTTCGATACATAAATGTTTGGCTCTAGGTCAGTTCACTACTGGTTTCATCCTCATCTGGTTATTATGTGTTGCCTAAAATATATGTCGATATATCGAGGTTTCTGGGCATCTTGGACTCATCTTAAACGACTATTGTCACAGTTACATCTCTGTGAATGCTCGGTGCCCGGTGAAGAGAAATACATAGATCACTTTGCAAGATAATATCCAAACTTGGTGGGCTATATATCTGGGTCTATACTTACTCTGCAAAAATTATTGAAATCGCAACATTAAATGGAGCAGGATCTTTCGTATATATTTCAATCTTTGCGGAGTAATGATCTAAGGTCTAAGGTATCAAATATTACCTTCATTATAAACATCACGATGTAAGCGACTGAAAAGTGTTACGATTCTATCAGATCGAAATCCTTTGACCTTAATTGTAACCCGTTCTGTGAAAAATTTTTGTATTTCTAAAGCATTTTAAAGGAGTTCTCTAAGGACCAGAGAATAGAGACTAATTTATGGCTATATAGACAGCCATAACTGACTACACTTCCAGTGGTATGATCTGAAATGAAAGAGCGAATGCAGTTGCTATTAGAGGAAGAGAGTTTGAGAAAGTTAAACTAACAAATTCAGAACCATTAAAAACATGAGAAAGGGAATCTTATACGGCCACTTACAACAATGGGTCAATGGTTAGGGCCAGTGAAATTCAATAAGTCCAAGGTTAGTATGATGTTATGCATTCTTGGTGGATGCAAAGGTTTAAGGAAATACGATCCCTCAGAAACACTATTTGGAAAATTCTAAGGCACTATGGCAGGATGGTTGGTTAACGTGGTAGTTCACTGCGCGCGAACAGTCAAGTAAAGTCGAAGAGACTCCGTTTTGACCGGATCAATCCACTCGTCAGATGTAGTATTGTATAGTATTAGATCCAGCCTGTAGCAGTGTGAAATCTCAGGATAACATTAAGCTTAGATCCAGATATCTCACCAAGGTTAGATATGGAGTAACTGCCAGGAAAACTGTTTCTTATTGAAGGAGGTCCACAATATCTTGGCCCCTTTACAAGTGTCTAGGTTATCCACATATTTTCAGCCTTTTGAAGATAGAATCTGAGGATACTACTCTTGATAAAACCTAACGGGGTTGCTACTGGAACGGCGTTGGAGATATGCCGTTCTAACAAGATCATCTCACCTGTTCATTTCCATAATAGTCCCTATGCGTAGGAACCCAAAAAAGGGTAATGTCAGACAGGCGACCCAGCATTGACAGATCTTTCTTGCATTGTCTAGCTAATAAGGAAGTGGTAGTATAAGAATTTAATGAGATATGTGCCGCTTGACTAACGACATTGAAATATAATTTCTTTCACAGATCTCTATATAAGGTTTTTCTATCAACATTAGCATAGAAATCCCGGTAACGGCCCTAAATGTATTTTTTCGGATCTACTTTTAAAATTTATTGAAAGATACAAATCGAGGTGAATAAGCTGGACCAAGAGTTTATGTTCTCTAAAGCTGTCTTAGAACTAGTTCATAGGCTGAACCCAGAACCTTTCCATATAATGTGTAACAACTTCCACGGAACTACAATGTTCCGAAGTTAAATGTATTTTTTCGGATCTACTTTTAAAATTTATTGAAAGATACAAATCGAGTGAATAGGCTGGACCAAGAGTTTACGTTCTCTAAAGCTGTCTTAGAACTGAACCCAGAACCTTTCCATATACAATGTTCCGAAGTTAACAATTTCGACATAAAAACATTTATCTCAACTTAAAATTAAAGCGAGTATTGTGGCAATGATCAAACGTGTTCTAGAATTAAAAAATTGTTTTCTAGCTTGTCCTATTTTTTGTCGTTAGCTGTAAACAAATTCCCTCAAACAACAACATAAAGCACAATTAAAATGTTAACAACATTTTATTGCTTGCATTTTAGTTAAATGAAAAGAAAGAAAAACCACACGAAACTGCATTAATACTCACTCATAAGAAACATTCTTCTCACTGTCTCTCCCTTTCGCTCTTGCACTCTCACTATTAGCAATAGCAGCAGCAGCAGTATCTGAGCAAGTGCGTGCTTTAATATATTTGGTAGAGTGAGTGTAAGTGTGTTATCATATCACTTAAACACTCATACAATCACAATATTATATATTGTTGATATAAGATTAACTCATTGACTGTCATCGTCTCTACCATTTAGTGGGTAGTGTGTGTATAACTGTATGTGTGTACTGCAGTTGACTGAAGTAGAGAAGTAGTATAAAATGTGCTGCTGCGCCAACCTCTGCTGCCATTGTATATTCCGTGTTCTGTCGTTTACTGTGTGTACATTTAGCGATAAAGAAAATTTCCAAGAGCTTCGAAAAATTGAGAAAAAGTCTATGTTACACAGCTGAAAACATTCACAAGCTATCCTAACTTCGTAGAGGATGGGCGTCCAGTTTTCGTGCTCCGTCGCGTATATTTAAAAACACAAATCATATTTTTATAAAATATTTTAAAAAAATCTAAACTCTGTATACATTTTTTTTGTTGTAAAATACAAAAAAAACATTCATTCTGAAAAAATAAAACAACAACAACCGTTGCTAGTGTTTAACAAAAAATTTTAATAAAAAACACGCGTTTTTTGAAAATAAATTAAAACAACTAAAAAAGTGAAATGTATTAATTATTAAAAAAATAAAACTTTAAAAAACACCCTACAAAACAAACAAAAATAACGAGTACCTTTTCAAAAAAAAAAAAAAATCAGCCAATTACAACAACTTTACAACTTTAGTACAAATCTACAGCATCCTGTTCTAACCAACCAACGTCTTATCCTTGACCTTCAAATTATTAAAGAAATTACTTTCGTTCCAAAACTATATAAATTAAACAGAAATAAAATGGCTTTACGTTGTGCTGGTCTTTTCTTGGGCAAAGAGCTCGCCTCTGCCTCTAAACAGTTGCGCTCCTTCAGCACCACCCCTGCTGTGATGGGCGGTTTCTTGAAAAACTCCCCCAACACTGCCTTGGACAAATCGATTTTGGATCGTTATCGCAAATTGGAAACCCCCAGCGATCGTGTTCAAGCCACCTATTTGTGGATCGATGGTACTGGTGAGAATATCCGTTTGAAGGATCGTGTTTTGGACAAGATACCCACTGGTGTAGAAGATTTGCCCAACTGGCAATACGATGGCAGTTCCACCTATCAAGCAGTAGGTGAAAACTCCGATACCACTTTGGTGCCCCGTGCCATATACAAGGATCCCTTCAAGCCCGGCAAGAATGATATTATTGTCATGTGTGACACTTATTTGGCTGATGGCAATGCAACTAAATCCAACAAACGTGCTGCTTTGCAAGCTGCCATCGATAAGGTAACCGATCATGAACCCTGGTTTGGCATTGAACAAGAATACACTTTATTGGATGTGGATGGCCGTCCCTTCGGCTGGCCCGCCAACGGTTTCCCTGCACCCCAAGGTCCCTACTACTGCGGCGTGGGTGCTGATCGTGTGTATGCCCGTGATTTGGTGGAGGCTCATGCTGTTGCCTGTCTGTATGCTGGCATCGATTTTGCCGGCACCAATGCCGAAGTTATGCCCGCCCAATGGGAATACCAAGTGGGTCCCAGTCTAGGCATTAAGGCCAGCGATGATTTGTGGGTGTCTCGTTATATTTTGCATCGCATAGCCGAAGAATTCGGCGTGGTGGTAACCTTCGATCCCAAACCCATGGAGGGACAATGGAACGGCGCTGGCGCCCACACCAACTTCTCCACCAAGGCCATGCGTGCCGATGGCGGCATGAAGGCCATCGAAGAGGCCATCAACAAATTGAGCAAACGTCATGAACGTCACATCAAGGCCTACGATCCCAATGAGGGCAAGGACAACGAACGCCGTCTGGTGGGACGCTTGGAAACCTCCAGCATTGACAAATTCTCCTGGGGTGTGGCCAATCGTGCTGTCAGTGTACGTGTGCCTCGTGGTGTAGCCACTGCTGGCAAGGGCTACTTGGAAGATCGCCGTCCCAGTTCCAATTGTGATCCTTATGCTGTCTGCGATGCTCTTGTAAGAACCTGTTTGTTGAATGAATAAGTTAACAGAGTTAAGAGCTTATCGAACCTCCGATCACTATCACATCATCAACTTCTCTCCCTCTTCAGACAAGAGTAAAAGGGCAGAGAGCTTTATTAAAATAACAACAACAACAACATTAACTATTATTATATTAATATTATTATATTATTAGTACTCATTTTTTTTTAAAGACAACTAAGCAAATTAAACATTAAAATTATAATTCGTAAAAATGAGTTATTCCATTGAATACTTCCTTCAAACTAACCCCTCCTACTCCCCGCAAAAAAAAAAAAAAAACACCCGCCAACAATTTATATTATAATAAGAAATGATGATTATCTTATTAAGAAGGGACTTTTTTTAAATAAGAGAACAAATTCTAAACTATTATCTATTTTATATTTTATTTGTATATAGTTAAACAAAAAACACAAAAGAAATTCCTTTAACCTAAAAAAAAAAATAATTGAAAACATCCTTTTTTTATATACATACATACACACCTAAAACTAAATATAATTTTTAAAAAATTGTTACTAATTTTTATTTTGTTTTTTTGAGTAAATTATATAAATTTTTTTTTTATTTTTTATAGCATTTAAGTTAAATCTGCCATAAATTTTATTATAATTAATAATTATAAAAGAAAAATGTATTTTATTATAAAAAAATATAAGCTACAAAAAAAATTATTGAAAAAACAACACCAAATGGCTGCACAATTTTATTTCTTTTACTATTAAATACTTTCAGAAAATATTAAATTTTCTATAATTTTTTGTTTTATAAACAAAAACCGTCAAACAATTCCCCCTCCCACCCCCAAAAGAAAAGAAAAAATACAGAAATTATATCAAACAAAACAAGAAAAAAATAAATTTTTATCAATTTTTACAGTATTTTTTCTTAAATTAACTTAAACATTTCAGAAATATTTTAAAAATCAAGTAAATAACAAAAAATTGTTGAAAATTTTATCAAAAAAACTTATTTTGTAAGAAATTGTTGTAAAATTAACAAATATTTAAAAATGACACAACAAAAATGAAAAATTAAAAAAAAACATTACAAAACATATTCACTAAATTACTACTACACCCCCCCCCACATACATATTATAGTTGTTAGTTTTCTGGCAAAAACAAAAAAATAACATGAAAAAAAAACAAAAATAAATATAACATGAAATATTCTAAAAATATTAAATTGTTTTATTGCTAAATACTATAGGCAGTTGTCTTATATTCAAATTTCTGTCTCAAAGTAAAAGTTTTTTTCTTTCATACGAATAGTTTTCTAGGTTTCGCTTGTTTCGTCATTTTGTATCTCGTTTTAGTCGAATTTCGTTTACCTTTAAGAAACCGGAAGTGTTTCAGTCACTAATGAGATCAATGATCTCATTTTAATCTATGTCTTAAAAGCGGTGCTGCCAGAGGAATTTCGTTTCTAATTCCTAAACATAAACTTAGAAATTTATATTAGTTCGAAAGCCTTTCTTTAATCTATCTCTTTAATAGAATCTGTTGTATAGGAAGCGAACTGAATGTTCGTCCAACAATTTCTATATCAAACAATCTAAAAAAAAACATTAGAACTGAACAACAACAGAACTAGAACCAAACTAGAAGTAAACTAGAATTGAAATAGATCAGAACTGAACTAGAACTAAATTAGACTTGAACTAGAACTGAAATAGAAGTAAACTAGAACTGAACTAGAACTAAACTAGAACTAAGCTAGAACTAAACTAGAACTAAACTAGAACCGAACTAGAACTGAACTAGAACTGAACTAGACTGAACTAGAACTGAACTAGAACTGAACTAGAACTGAACTAAAACTGAACTAGAACTGAACTAGAACTGAACTAGAACTGAAGTAGAACTGAACTAGAACTGAACTAGAACTGAACTAGAACTGAACTAGAACTGAACTAGAACTGAACTAAAACTGAACTAGAACTGAACTAGAACGGAACTAGAACTGAGAACTGAACTAGAACTGAACTAGAACTGAACTAGAACTGAAACTAGAACTGAACTGGAACTGAAACTGAACTAGAACTGAACTAGGAACTGAACTAGAACTGAACTAGAACTGAATAGAAACTTGAACTAGAACTGAACTGCACTAGAACTGAACTGGAACTGAACTAGAACTGAGCAGTTTGGATAGTTAGTTAGTTCGCTAGTTAGTTAGTTAGTTAGTTAGTTAGTAGTAGTTAGTTAGTTAGTTAGTTAGTTAGTTAGTTAGTTCATTTAAGCCTAAGCCTAAGCTTCTCTGATTCTGACAAATTCCGTCTTTAAAGATGAAATTTCGACAAATGGTATAGTTAGTAGTTATGGAGTTAGTTAGTTAGTTAGTTAGTTAGTTAGTTAGGTTAGTTAGTTAGTTAGTTAGTTAGTAGTTAGTTAGTTTAGTTAGTTAGTTAGTTAGGTAGTTAGTTCGTTAGTTAGTTAGTTAGTTAGTTAGTTAGTTAGTTAGTTAGTTAGTTAGTTAGTTAGTTAGTAGTTAGTTAGTTAGTTAGTTAGTTAGTTAGTTAGTTAGTTAGTTAGTAGTTAGTTAGTTTTAGTTAGTTAGTTGTAGTTAGTTAGTTTAGTTAGTTAGTTAGTTAGTTAGTTGAGTTAGTTAGTTAGTTAGTTAGTTAGTTAGTTGTTAGTTAGTTAGTTAGTTAGTTAGTTATTAGTTAGTTAGTTAGTTAGTTAGTTAGTTAGTTAGTTAGGTTAGTTAGTTAGTTAGTTAGTTAGTTAGTTAGTTAGTTAGTAGTTAGTTAGTAGTTAGTAGTTAGTTAGTTAGTTAGTTAGTAGTTAGTTAGTAGTTAGTTAGTTAGTTAGTTAGTTAGTTAGTTAGTTGTTAGTTAGTTAGTTAGTTAGTAGTTAGTTAGTTAGTTAGTTCGTTAGTTAGTTAGTTAGTTAGTAGTTAGTTAGTTAGTTAGTTAGTTAGTTAGTTAGTTAGTTAGTTCATTTAAGCCTAAGCCTAAGCTTCTCTGATTCTGACAAATTCCGTCTTTAAAGATGAAATTTCGACAAATGGTATAGTAGTAGTTAGTAGTTTAGTAGTAGTTAGTTAGTTAGTTAGTTAGTTAGTTAGTTAGTTGTTAGTTAGGTTAGTTAGTAGTTAGTAGTTAGTAGTTAGTTAGTGTAGTTAGTGTTAGTTAGTTAGTTAGTTAGTTAGTTAGTAGTTAGTTAGTTAGTTAGTTAGTTAGTAGTAGTTAGTTAGTTAGTAGTTAGTTAGTTAGTTAGTTATTAGTTAGTTAGTTAGTAGTTAGTTAGTTAGTTAGTAGTTAGTTGTTAGTTAGTTAGTTAGTTAGTAGTTAGTTAGTTAGTTAGTTAGTTAGTTAGTTAGTTAGTAGTTAGTTAGTTAGTTAGTTAGTTAGTTAGTTAGTTAGTTAGTTAGTAGTTAGTTAGTTAGTTAGTTAGTTAGTTAGTTAGTTAGTTAGTAGTAGTTAGTTAGTTAGTTAGTTAGTTAGTTAGTTAGTTAGTTAGTTAGTTAGTTAGTTAGTTAGTTAGTTAGTTAGTAGTTAGTTAGTTAGTTAGTTAGTTAGTAGTTAGTTAGTTAGTAGTAGTTAGTTAGTTAGTTAGTTAGTTAGTTAGTAGTTAGTTAGTTAGTTAGTTGTTAGTTAGTTAGTTAGTTAGTTAGTTAGTTAGTTAGTTAGTTAGTTAGTAGTTAGTGTAGTTAGTAGTTAGTTAGTTAGTTAGTTAGTTAGTTAGTTAGTTAGTTAGTTAGTTAGTTAGTTAGTAGTTAGTTAGTTAGTTAGTTAGTTAGTAGTTAGTTAGTTAGTTAGTTAGTTAGTTAGTAGTTAGTTAGTTAGTTAGTTAGTTAGTTAGTTAGTTAGTTAGTTAGTTAGTTAGTTAGTAGTTAGTTAGTTAGTAGTTAGTTAGTTAGTAGTTAGTTAGTTAGTTAGTTAGTTAGTTAGTAGTTAGTTAGTTAGTTAGTTAGTTAGTTAGTTAGTTAGTTAGTTGTAGTTAGTTAGTTAGTTAGTTAGTTAGTAGTTAGTTAGTTAGTTAGTTAGTAGTTAGTTAGTAGTTAGTTAGTTAGTTAGTTCGTTAGTTCATTTCATTTAAGCCTAAGCTTCTCTGATTCTGACAAATTCCGTCTTTAAAGATGAAATTTCGACAAATGGTATATTAAAGGTTTTTTATACAAAACAAGTTTTTGAGAAAATTAATCAAAATAATTAATTTATATTAATTACAAATACAAAATAATTTCTCATCAACTTTATATTGTGTTTACATTTGAATGTGTAAAGTAAACAACAAATAGACGGACAAACTTGCATACGGTGTCTCTGAATGTCATCAAACGAATGTGCTTAAACCTGCAAATAGGAATTTTTCATACCCTGCACGTTAAGGAACAAACAAAAGAAACATTTGCTAATCAAAAAAAAAAAAACATTTTCATTTCGGATTAGATCAAAACAACTCTCTATCGTAATCGACTTCGAGCGAAAATTTATCGAAATTTTGAAACTTTTAGAAGAAATAAGTTTAGAATGTTCCGAGATAAAGCCAAAAACAAAATCACTTTATAACTTTGTGTAGAGATTGTAAAGTGTTTGTAATGCTTTTTTAACTGAATCTAATTTAAATTTTTTTCCACTAATTTGTGATGCTCGTGTGGCTTTATTACAAAAATAACATTTTTAATTTTAATAATTTTTCATTGTATTTTTTATAATTTTCTGCTTTTAATTTTAGTCATTGTTAAACGTACCTTTTTCTCTTAATTTATAAATTTCCCGAAATGCTAAAAAATTTCACTTTAAATTTTCTTTTGAATTCTAGGCATTTCTTTTGTTTTATCATTTACTTTTGATTTGTTTATCATTCGTTTTCTTATTTTTTCGAAATATATAAAATGATGCAATTATTTATTTATAAAATTCGTTGATTTCCTAAGAATTGCATTTTTGATGGACGGTGACGTTTTTAATTTCACTTTTTGAAATGTGCCAAATTTTTAATTAACACGATTAACGTAAAGAGAGGATGTTGAGAATAAATCAAATTTACTTTAAACAAAAAAACTATTAAAAATTAAATTTCGAAATAATTTACGAAAAGATAAGCAATTTTTTCCTACACGTATGAAAATAATGCGGTTTACTATAACTTTATAGTGTATTCTGTAGTTTATTTGGAACTAGTCGAGTCTATGCTCTCGTATATGTACTCAACTGTAGTCTGTTCTTTAACATCAACGAAAGTCTGACCTTTATTCTGGTCCATGATCTCAGCCATAGTCTGGTCTATGGTCTCGTGTATAGTCTTTAGTCTTGTATGCAGTCTGGTTTATAGTCTTGACTATACTATTATATCTATAGTCTAGGCTGTAGTCTGGTCTATATTCTCGATTATAATCTAGACAACAATAGTCCCCAATATAATCATATAACTGGTTTCAACCTACCTTTTGATCGAACATATTTATATGATAACAGTAATATAAATAAATGTCTACATGTGTCATAAATTTTCAATTTAGTATTCAAGATTTCCATCTATAAATAGTTCTAACATTAAAAATATTTAGTTTTCAATAAACAAGTTAAACCTTTTTGAATTTCAAATCAGATGCATACAAATGAATTTTTACATAATTTTAAATTTCAAATGAGAACAAACTCGTTTTTACCAATTTTAATTTCCCATTATTTCCAACCGTTTATTTGAAAAACAGGCCAATATGTTTGTTGTAAAACGCAACAAAAGGTTGAAAACCTTTATACCAATTAAACTACGTTCTTTAAATTCATAACATTAATTTTGTATAAATTATCCTAAAAGTCTAGGGAAAACAATTTAATTCGTTTTTCTATTTTTTTATTACACTACAAATTATTGATTTAATGTGTATATGACCCTTGTCCCCAAACTAATGAGCTCTGAGATGGATACTTATAAGAAATAGAAAAGAAAATGAAGGTTAAATTACAGGCGTAGATAATTTTCTATAGGAAATTTGTAGGCTTTAATAAATAAAGGGTTTGTTATAAAGAGGTGTTTTTAAAATTCAAAAAGAAGTAATAGATACAGATAGATACAGATAGATAGATAGATAGATAGATAGATAGATAGATAGATAGATAGATAGATAGATAGATAGATAGATAGATAGATAGATAGATAGATAGATAGATAGA